TGCCAAGATGAATAGCCTGTATTTTATCCTAAGGGTGTTCGGGCTGTAGCCATGGCTGTGGCTGGTGTTTCTAGAATGTTGAAAGGCAGAGGCAATAGGGGCCATGCACTTGTTTCCCAAGGATTTCCATCCTCAGGGCTTGGATTTGGGGCAATGCCCATCCCCCAAACTCCCTCCTCTCCTCCCTGAAATACCCTGCTTGAAAGCCACTGGTAGGTGGAACAGGTGGGGATGCCCACTCCCAGAGGAAGGGACCATTAGCATAGCAATGAAGGTCCTAGTACCATAGTATCACAGACTTAGTTGAAGGGGACCCTTTAAATGAGGGACCAACCCTTTCATTTTAAAGATGGGAAATCTGAGACACAGAAAAGTCAAGTGATGGAAGTGATTGTTGATAAATCAAAATAAATTAATTTTAAAAAATGAAAAAAAAAAAGTGAAATGTCCTACCCCAGGATTGTTGTTGTTCAATCGTGACCCCACGGACCTTTGTCCATGGGATTTTATTTTTGTTTTGTTTTTTACAAAGATACTGGGGTTGTTTGCCATTTCCTTTAAGACACTTGCCCAAGATGACACCGCTAGGAAGTTTCTGAGACTGAATTTGAACTCAGGTCTTCCTGACTCCAGGCCTAGCACCCTATCCACTGAGCCACCTGGCTGTCTTGACATACATGCGTACATGACACCTTGCATACATGATACTTTAGGCTATATAGATATTATGGGAATGGGATTCAAACCCAAGTCCTATGACAGAGTTCGACAAGATTTTTATTGAATTAAAATATCATTTTCCATCTTGGAATCACAAGCTGTTGGCCAGGGTCTCAAGCACAGTCAACGAAGAACAATATTCTGTTGGGTTAGACAGCTTCTTTCAGATTTGGAAGGAATTTTACAGAGGGGGAAACTGATCACCAGAGAGGTGAAGGGACTTGCTTAAGGAAACACAGCTATTTAGAGTCAGACCTAGGACTAGAACTTGCCTCCTTATTCTCAGGCCCAAGTGACTCCTCCATACCCAAAGCTCCCATGGGAGATTCTGGGCAGTGGCTGGGCACTGAAGCAAATCTGACTGGGCTCTAGGCTCTGTAGAGAGGCCCAGGGAACTTTAGACTTTGATGTGGGGCCTGGAGGGATTGTGAGAACTGGAGTCTCTTCTCGGAGACCCAGGGCACTGAGGCAGGCACCGGTCAGCTCTGGACACTGGAGGGGGAGGCTCCTTTAGAGCTCCAGACATTGCAGTGGGTTCTAAGAGATTAAGGAAACAGAACTGGGAGGTTTTCCCCATTTTTGAAGTAGGGAAACTGAGGTCTGGAAAGGGTGAGGTATTTTTTCAATGAGTTAGGTCCTAGGGGTCTCCTGGCACTAGATTAAGGTCCTGGCACTGAAGCAGGTCTTTTGGGCTCTGGGTCACTTTCTGGAATTCTGGACCCCAGACATCAAGGGACATTCCAAGGAACATCAGGCGCTGGGGCTGATCAAGGAGTGCTCTGGACACTCTGGTGGATAGGTTCCCAAGAGGCTCTGAGGCTGAGTTAGATTATGAGGGGCTGTGAGTATTAGGAGGGTCCTGGGGGATTCTGGGTACTAAGGCATGTCCTGTGTGGGGCTGTGGGCATTGACATAGGTGGGTGCCGAGGGGCTGTAGATTGAGATAGATCTTGAAGGGAGAATAGTAATACTGAAGTTGACCCTAAGGAACTCTAGGGACTGGCATAGTCTATGGGATGTTCCCAGGACTGAGGTGGAAACTAGGGAGTTCTGGGCGCTGGGGAGGGTCCTGGGGGATTCTGAGAACTGGGACAGATTCCAGAGTCTAGGGTAGGTTCTGGGATGTTCCTAGAACTGGTGCATAGTAGGAGACTCCGGACAACTTCCAGTTGGATCCTTGGGAATGTGCTGGGTACTAGGAAGGACCCCAGGGGACTGCGGATACTTTAGTGGGTCCCACCTGAGGCCTGAGATGGGTGTTTGGGAGTCCCTGGTCCCCAATCCAGATTCGAGGGTGCTTAGGCCGTTGAATTAAGTCTCAAGGAGCTCAAAGAAATGAAGCAAGTTTTTAGGGGCTCTGGGTGCTGAGTCTGGTTCCAGACCCCTTCGGCAGCCCCTGGGGGGCCGTTGGGAGGTGATGACATACCCCACATTTCACAAGCCAAACCAGAGAGAGGGAAGAAGTGGAGAAGGGGGATCAGGAAGGAGCCCAGGCCAGATGGATGGCATGGACAGACACCTTCCCCCCCCAATAACTGTCCCCCAACCCCTGTTTCCTGCCTGACCCACACTACTTAACTGGAGCCTTCCCAGGCCCAGTCCTAGACCAAGGCGTCAACAAGGACCCTGGGAAGCATCATGAAGTTCCCTGGGATCTCCATGCTTCTGTCCTGGGTGGCAACCCTGGGCCAGCTGACCTCCTCAGGTAATGGACTACCCCTGCCCCACAGTACCCCTAGCCCCCATCCTAGGGGGACACAGCCCGAGATATCAGGGGAGTGATAGATGAGAAGCCAAGAGACGGAGGCACTGGCCTTAGCTCTGTGCTGGAATCGTTATGTGACCCTGACCGAGTTCCTTCTCTCTGGGCCTCAGTTTCTCCATCTGGAGAGGGAGAGAGGCTCAACTAGGAGGCTTATCAGATATAAGGAAAAAGGGGGAAAGAAGAGTTCCTATTGACTAATTGTAATTCTGTGAGCAACATCCGCTCTTTTACTGGCTTTCACACAGCTTTTTACTGGCTCTCCCTCCCTCCACCATAAATTACCTCCAACCTATATCCTCCCCTCCCCTCCCTAAATAGGCAAAGGCTGTTTCCCTTTTGGTCTCTTCCAAGCACTTAGCACCATGCTTTGCATATCACAGAAGGAATGAATGCTTTTTGGGTTGAATTGAGGAAGTTCTTGAAAGAGGACTCTTCTTTCCTCAGGGCTTAAGCCCTTTAGAGTTCGGGGGTTGGGTACTAGATGCTTGTGGGATCCAGCCGCCCCTCAGGCTCTTAGAGACAATTCTTCCCTTCCAACCCCCACCAAACACCAGCCCAAGCCAAGCTTTCTCTTCCCAAGGATCTAACTACTTTCTCTCTCTCTCTCCTGGTCTCCTTTTTTTTTTTTTTCTGGAGATGAGGCATCTCTGTCCCAGCTTCATTTCCAATCTAGACATTTTCACTGACTCTCCCTCATGCCAGGACTTCTCTCTCTCCTCACCTCTGCCTTCTGGCATCCTTGGCTTTCTTCTGCAGGAAGCTCTCACAAGTCCCCCTTAATGCTAGGGCCTTCCCCTCTGTTGATTATCTCCGATTTGTCCTGTGTATACCTTGTTTGTACATTGTTTGTTGATGCTGAGTTGTTTCAGTCCTGTCCTAGTCTTTGTGGCCCCATTCGGGGTTTTCCATTTTACAGATTCGCCATTTTACAGATGAGGAAACTGAGGCAAACAGGGTTCAGTGACTTGACCAGGATCACCACTTTACAGATGAGGAAACTGAGGCAAACAGGGTTCAGTGACTTGACCAGGATCACCACTTTACAGATGAGGAAACTGAGGCAAACAGGGTTCAGTGACTTGACCAGGATCACCATTTTACAGATGAGGAAACTGAGGCAAACAGGGTTCAGTGACTTGACCAGGATCACCATTTTACAGATGAGGAAACTGAGGCAAACAGGGTTCAGTGATTTGCCCAGGATCAGACAGCTAGCGTCTGAGGTAGGATTTGAACTCGAGACTTCCTAACTCCAGGATGGGCACTGTGTCCACTGTGCCACCTACATGCCCTTTTGTTTGTAGGTAGCTCTCTGCACGTTGCCTCCTTCACTAGACTGAGCTTCTCAAGGGCAGGAATTGTCTTTTGCCTTTCTCTGTATCCCTACTACTTAGCCCAGTGCCTAGTGCATAGTAGGTGCTCGAAAAGATAAATGTCTTGTTGACCAACAGTCCTAGTCCCTAGCCATCTTTGCCTCTGCCTTTAACTCAGTCCCTGTCTCTGGTGTAATTAATTTATCTCTTTTATTTTTGATTCACACTGGTTCTCCTCCAGACCTATTCTAATTTGTTAATGTCCCCTCCCTAAAATGCGTCCTCTATCTGTGGCAACCACATGAATGCATAGGGTGTGTGTGTGTGTGTGTGTGTGTGTGTGTGTGTGTGTGTGATTCAACAAACATTTATAGAGTGCCTACTATGTGCCAGGCACTATACTGAGTGCTAGAGATACCTAGACAAAGCTAAAACAATCCTTGCCCTCAAAGAGCCCACATTTGGGAGGGAGGGAAGCAACATGTACATAGATAAAATAAATATCTATAGAGTGAATACAAAGTAGTTTATGGGGTCCGGGAGAGCATTAACAACAGGGGAAATCAGGAAAGGTTTCCCCCACGAGTCATATGAACTCCCCCGAAGGGAGGTGAAGAGGGAGGCTTTTCCAGGCACAGTGTCCAGGAAGTGAGTGCCCTGCCAAGCAAGAGGGGACAGTGTCCCTGTGTGAAGCACAGGTAGATGCTGAGAGACTGCAGTGGCAGAGACGCAACATGGAGTGTAGGCATGGGAAATGACACGGCATCAGTCTAGAAAGACGGGTTGGAGTCAGATTGTCAACTCCAGAGACTGAGTTTGTCTTTTATCTCAGAAGCAATAGGAAACCATTGACATTTCTTGAGCAGTAGAGCATCTTCCTGTCTCTGTCACTGTTTCGATCCCTGCCCCTGGGTCTGAGAAAACAGTGGGGCCTGACTTCAGCTTGATTTCTTGAGATGTTGAAGGCAAGATTACTTTGGAAGGTGGTGGTCCTGGCCTTGGGCTCCCCATTCCAATCAGTCTTGACAATTTCTACCATTGGAGATCCACCTATCCAGAACCCCTTGACAGGACCCTGTGATAATATTGACTGCACTCAGGAGTGCCCTAGGAATGAAAATACCTTCTGGAGACAGTATATCCCCCAGATCTGGGATGTGGAACTTGATGAAGAAGGCTCAGACACTTGTCTCTGTCCCCAGGGACTCATCAAGGCCGAATTGTGGGGGGTCAAGAAGCAACACCCCACTCCTACCCATTTGCAGTCTCCATCCAGTACCAGGGTGAGCACATCTGCGGGGGGTCCCTCATCCGGCCCCAGTGGGTGCTCACAGCTGCCCACTGTGAGGTTTCCAAGTGAGTCCAGCCCTGAGAACTACCCCTTTCCTGACCTCTGTACCCTGCTGGAAGTCCCAACTTCAAGGGCTCCCCCAGCCACATCAGCTCTCCCAGGGCGCCCACTGAAATCACATGACAGTGCACCCTAGTTTGGGACTGAGTTCCAGTCCTACGACCTTGGGCAAATCCTTGGGCCTCAATTTCCTTTTCTGTCAAGTACAAAATGGAGAAGGGGAAAGGAAATGCAGGATGGAAAGAAGCCCTGGCTAGGATCCAGGAGACCAAGGTTCTTATCCTTCAGACTCACTGTGTGATCTTGGCTAGATGCCTTGCTTTGAGGGATTTCGGTTTTCCCAGCTACTAATTGGCAGTCCTTTGCGGGTGTGCAGCAGGAGAGGTCCCAGGGTGGGGGGCGGAATACTGAGACCACTGGAGAGGGAATAGAGGAAGGATCCCCCATCCCCTAGAAGCTAACATCCCTCCTTCCCTCCCTGGGGTTGTAGGGAACCAGCTGCCTTCCGGGTAGTCCTAGGTGCCCACTCCCTGATTACTCCAGAGTCAACCCAGCAGATATTTGGGATCCTTCGAGCTGTCCCTTATCCACTCTATGATGCCCAGGCTGACACCAATGACCTACAGCTGCTCAAGGTGAGTCCTGGAAAACCAGAGCTACCCAGCTCTCTGAAGCCAGTGAGGCAGTCTGAGGCCTGGGGAGCAGGAGAGAGGGAGGGCTTGGCCCCTGCTCCCAGGGCCTTTGGGGAAGGGGAGAGTACAGTGGAGTCCCAGAATTTTGTAACAAGTCTCTGAATCTTTCCTTGCCTTTGTTTTTGTGTCTTATTCCCCCTACCTATTTTTCTGTCACTGTCCCTAAACCAATCTCTGTCCCTCTTCCCGTGTCTGTCCTCATCTCTATCCCTGACCCTTGTCCCCGGCAGCTCAATGGCAGTGCATTGATGACACGCTCAGTGAGGCCAATCAGCCTTCCTGGATGGAATACATCTGTTCGCCCAGGGACTCAGTGCTCGGTATGCGGCTGGGGGGACATCCCGGGCCGGGATGATCCCACGACTGTTCTCATGAAGACGTCTGTAGTGGTGCAGGACCGGCAGGCCTGCAACAGCTCCTGGAAGGGAAACATCAACCAGGACATGATTTGCACCTCTGGCCCTAACAAAAGCCAGTTACAGGGTGTCTGTGGGGTGAGGCTTGTGAGGAATGGGAAGATGGGAGGCAGGAGGATGGTATTCTAGCCCCCCTCACTTATGGAGAGTAACCTTGGGCAAGTTCCTTCCTTTGTCTGGGTCCCAGTTTCTCCACCTTTCAAAAGCTCACCCTCCTCTGGGTCTGTTCCTTTGTTTCTGGCCCTATCTCTCTGTGTATGTGTTTCTCTCTCTCTCTCTCTCTCTCTCTCTCTCTCTCTCTCTCTGTCTTTGTCTCTCTGCTTCTCAGAAGTCAGCTATGAGTACTCTCTCAGTACTGATCTGTTAGATTAGAAGATCTTTGGGAGACTCCCTGGTAGGCCTAGGGAAGGGGCAGACCCATGAGCTGACCAGTCCACACTATCTTTCTCACTATCTCTCTCTCTCTCTCTCCTCCACCCCCCCCACCATAGTCTTTCAATATTTACTTAACCTTATTCTGCCCTCATACTGTCCCCTCTTGCTTGGCAGGGGGACTCCGGGGGACCACTCATCTGCCAAGGGAGGCTTCGAGGTGTGGTGTCCTTCTCCTCCAGAATCTGTGGGGATCCACGCTACCCTGATGTCTATGCCCGTGTCTCCACCTTTGTGGGCTGGATCTATGACGTGTTGCAGCATTATTGATCTCACTGGCAGTGTCCAGCACACACAAAGTCAGGACTTTGGGGCCCTGAGGGTCCACCTGATCCAGCCTCCTCCCCCTGCAATCTCACATGGGGGAAACCCAGTCCAAGGGAGAGGAAGGGACCTTCCTCTGACTGGTCCACTGACCTGGACCAGTAGCGGGGACTTGACTGGGTTTTCTTGTTTTACAAGAGGAATTTAATTTTGAATAAATACTCTTTCCCAACCTCATCCTTCTTCCTCCAGTCAGTATAGCTCAATATGGTCACCTACCCTTACCCAAGCCTGAGGAGAGAGGCCAAGAAAGGGTTACCCTTCCCATTTCACAGATTAAAAAACAAAGACTCAAAGAAGGAAAGGGACCGGATTAAGTGAGCCTATGGCAAAGCTGAGCCAAAAAACCAGATCTTCTGATGCTCCATTCATGACCCCACAGACCTAGTTCCAACCTTAGGGAGGAGGCCAAGCAAAGATTACCCTACTCATTTCACAGATGAAGAAACTGAGGCCCAGAGAGGGGAAAGGACTTGCCCAAGGTCACTTAGTGAGTCAGTGGGGAAGTTGGGTCTTGAAAACAGATCTTATGCTCCTTTTGTGACCTGATGCTTTCTAATGGGGTCCTTATTTCTCTGGCAATTCAGACTTTCCACCTATAATAGGGACTCTTCCTCTTCTCCCTGCTGCCCAACTTTGGAACATGCTCAGGGAACATTCCTAGTGACCACTTGGAAGGAGAGGACAGGCATCTACTACATATCTAATGTCTAAAAGGTACTTTGAAATCATAAAAGGGGTTTGTGGCTGGGACCCCTGGCTGTTTGTAGATGGGCTCAACCAGGCCCCTAGGCTCTGGTGGGGTCCTCCATTGGACCCTGAACTCTCGTGGGCTGGCTCTCCTCCTTTCTAAGGCTTTGCCCCCTCCCCCCCACCAGAATTCTTTGATAGATAGCCCACTCACAATCCGAAGACTTACTAAAGAATTCTGGAATGTTAGCATCTGAAGGGTCCTTAGAGCTCAGCTGATCCACAGCACCCCCTCCCCCCTTTATGAATGGAGAAACCAAGGAACAGAGACTGGAAGAGGTTTTCCCCTGGGTCACACAGCCAGTCAGGTTTCTTCAGATTGGCTGGGGCGGGGCACCTCAACCACAGGGTGAGGCCCTCCTCTCCTTCCTGAGCCCACTTCCCTTGTCCCTTCCTCCACCAAGCCAGGACTACAGGTAGAAGGAGCTGAGGAGGGGAGATGGGGCCGGGCTGGAGCTCCAGACTGCTGGCACTGAGCCTACTGTTTCTCATAGACCCCCTAGGTGAGCAGGAGCTCCCAGGACTTGGGGAACCTGGGACAGGAGCACCCTGGGGTCCTCCACCCCATCTTCCCTTCCCTCCCCTTCCATCTATCCCTCTCTGGCTCCCTTCCCTTTATCTCTCCTTCTCCATCTCCTTCCCCCTCTCCATGGCTCCAAGCCCTTTCTTATCTCTGTCTTTCTCTCATCCCTCATCCTATCCCTAGCCCTGACTCTTCCCCATCCTCACTCCCTTCCCTGTAATCATCTCATCCCTGTCTCTGACCTCATCTCTCCTTGTACCCAGCCCATCATGCTCCCTGACCGCAATCTCTATCCTCATCTCTGTCCGTTTCCTTCTCCACATCCTTCTCTGTCCCAGGCATCCACTGTTTGCTCCCAATTCTCTCCGCCACCTTCAACCCTCTTACTGTTTCTTTTCCTTCTTCACCTGGGACCGACTTCTCTTTCCACCTCTTCCTCTGCCTTCCTTGGTCCTTTGCAAAGAGTCCTGATTCCCCAACCTGCTGTGTTCCCCTCCCCTGGCCCCTGACAGGTATCCTAACCTCCCTCCTTGGCTGGGGGCTCCTTGGCTGTAAGGGCAGTCGCATTATTGGGGGCCGGGAGGTGAAGCCACACTCCAGGCCCTACATGGCTTCCGTGCGCTTTCTGGGTGAACACCATTGCGGAGGGGTGCTCTTCATGGCCCAGTGGGTGTTGACAGCGGCCCACTGCTTCTTCAACAAGTAAGAAGGATCTTCTCACTCCAGCTCCTGGGCCCCCCTCCGGGAGGGACCCAGCTAATCTCCCCAGGGCTTTCCCCTTTCACCCCTTTTTAATCTTTCCTGAACTAAAAGCCCCCAGGCCCCCCTGATCTTGAACCTGTTCTGCTCTCTGGGGTTCAGAGATTGGCTGCAATTATCTTTTAGACTCATAGATTGTCAAAACTAAAAGGGATACCACAAACCACCTAGTTAAAACCTCATTTTACAGATGGGAAAACTGAGGCCTAGAGAGGGGAAGGAGTTGTCCTAAAGCCATCCAGTAAAAATAGTGGCAGTGTCAGGACAAGACTTTAGAATATAAAACCCAGAAATAACTTACCAGGATGAGGTTCTGGCTTTCTTCTTGAGCCCTTCACATAATAATTTTTAATAGCACTTCAAAGTAAGAGAATCCCTTTACATACATTATCTCATTTGAACCCAATGATGACAATTCTTTGTCAGTTACCACAGGTATGAGCACCATTTTACAGAGGAGGAAACAAAAGCTCAGATTAGACTTGGCCAGGGTCTCAAAGGGAAAGAGAACACTTTCACATAAAGTTTTTTCCTCATCCTGCCACTTACTAACTTTAATGACTATTGACCTGAAGTGACTTCAGTAAGGTTTTTCTAAGTCAGCTTCTTTACCTGTGAAAGAGATATTAACTTTCCCATTCCCTACCTGAAAGAGGTGGAACAAATATTATAGGTCATATTTAGAGCTTAGGGAGACTGTGCAGTTTACCAAGCCCAACTCTCTCATTTGACAGATGAGGAAACCGAGGTTCAGAAAGCCCAGGGTTACCCCTATGCCCACCGTCCTCTTTGACCTCTTCCCAGAATACCATGAGCCCAGGACTTAGCAACCTCTGAAAAGTCAAGAGACAAGGATTAACTCCATTATTAGGGTCACAGAAAAATAGATTTAGAAGCCATCTAGCCCAAATCACCCATTTTACAGATGAAGAAACTGAGGTCCAGTGAGATTTGCCCACGGTCAGATAAAGTGGGAACCCATGTTTTCTTGGGTTTCAAATCCAAGGTTCCATCCATTTTGTCACACTTGGAGTGTGACACTGGGGGTTGACTGGAGCGAAATAGATTGGAATTCAGCAATGTCTGAGGTCCCTTCCTGCTCCAGGGCCTTTGATCCTCCCACAGCAGATTTTCAAAATGTGGAATAGTGGGTAGAGTGTCAGACTGGGAGTCAGAAAGAAAAAATCCCAGCTCTTGAGACTTACAAGCTGTGGGACCTCAGGGAAGTCATTTCACTTCCATGAGACTCAGTTTCATCATCTGTAAAAAAAACAGGGTTAATAATAGCCAGCTTGTAGATCATCTTGAGAGCAAGCACTGGGTTTTTAATTTTTTAATTTTGTCTTTTTGCTTTTCTTTCTTTCTTTTCTGGGTTTTGTTTGTTTGTTTATTTTTTTGCTTCTCTTTATATTCCCAGAGCTTAGTGAAGTATGGCATATAGTAGGCGCTTAATAAATGCTTGTTGACTGACAGACTAATAACTATAGAACTTACCTCCCACTTTTGTTGTGAAACTCAAGCAAGATAATGCTTATAAAATATTTTACAAACCTGAAAGTGCTAACAAATGTCAGTTATTTTTGGCAGGCATACCAACAACACATACCCTCATCTTTTATTCTTGGATAGTCTTACATCTGTCTAGATCAGGAATTTTTAACCATTTTGTGACCTAGTTCCCTTCTGCAGTCCAGTGAAGCCTATGGATGGTCCCCTTTTCAGAAAAAAAATGTATTTATTTAGGCAATTGGGGTTAAGTGACTTGCCCAGGGTCACACACACAGTTAGTAAATGTCTAGTGTTTGGTCTGAGGCTGGATTTAGAACTCAGGTCCATCCTGACTTCAGGGCTGGTGCTCTATCCACTACACCACCTAGCTGCCCCCAGAAAAAATGTTTTTAAATGCATGGAATTAAATGCAGAAGATGATATTGTTTAGTCCTTTTTCAGACCCCGTTTGGGGTTTTCTTGGCAGAGATACTGGAGCGGTTTGCCATTTCCTTCTCCAGCTCATTTTTCAGAGGAGGAAACTGAGGCAAATGGGGTGAAGTGACTTGCCCAGGGTCACACAGCTAGCGTCTGAGGTTGGATTTGAACTCAGTAAGAGGAATCTTCCTGACTCCACGCCTGGCACTCTATACACTTTGGCGCCACCTAGTGCCTACAGAGGATTATAAAGGAAACCAGTTTTATTGAAATAGTTATTCATATTTTTTAAAAACAAGTTCACGGCCCAGAGGTTAAGAACTCCATGCTCTAGATCCCCTCCAAGACACCTGTCCTTACCATCTGAACCCCAGGAAAGAGCCTGGGACTTAGAGACATGAAGACCAGAGTTCAAATCCCAACTCCAGCATTTACAAGTTGTTATAAATGAGCCCACCAAGCTCCCTCCTTAACTAGAGCAAGGCTTGGTTCCGGGCCCAATAATGAAACTACAGTCCTATGTGACCTTGAGCAAGTCATTTCCTTCTTAGAGCCTCAACTTCCTCATCTAGAAAATAGAGATATTTCTGTTTGCACTCCCTCCCTCCCAAGTGCTTTGTAGACAAGTAAAAAGAAAAGTAGAATTCTGAGTTAGGCCCCAGGTACCCAGACTGGCTCTCCCCAGAGGGCTGGGTCCCCCCAGTGGCCTTCTCTGAGTGGAGCAGATGGGACGGTCATCTCCCTTTCTCAACACAGAGACAGCAGCCATGCCCTGGTAGTGCTGGGTGCCCACTCCCCCAGTGACCCCGAGCCTACACAACAAGTGTTCAGAATACAGCGCTCAATTTTGCACCCATGCTATGACCCCGTGACCCATGAGAATGACATTTGCCTGCTGAAGGTAAGCTAAAGAAGGGGGGGTGTTCTCTCTGCCCCTTCCCCTTCTCCTTCCTGGGGTCCAGACTTATTGTGATATACACACATATGCAGAATGTCAGGGCTAGAAGGCATCCTGGCACATAGAACCCTAGCGAGTCTGAGCTGGAAAGGTGCTTAGACATCATAGAATCCAATTCCCTTTGGTTTGAATATAGGGAAGCTGAGCCCCAGAGAAGGCAAGAGACTTTCTCAAGGTCACAAAGCAAATGGCTATAGAACAGGTATTACTTAACCCAGAGGGCCATAGGTAGAGTGACGGGCTTCATAAATGGGTACCTCTCAGCAGAGGCAGGGGTTTGTAGAGCGGCCAGCTTGTTATAAGTGGAAGAATAATGAACCCAGAGTAAAGAGAAACTTGTGTTCGATTCCTGCTCCCCACCCTGGCACCCTGACAGTGAGACCAGTCAAGTTCATCTTTCATATCCTCAGTTTTCCAGTCTGTTTTCTAGCACTGCAATGCATCTGTGATCTTGCTTCCAAAGATGCTTCTCGTAACACATCCATGCCTGTTGTCCATCTTATGCAATTCTCCTATGTGCCCTCCCATGAGTTCACCTCAAAGGGTCCCAGAATACCCCTAGACCCTGTCTTAAGGGGTCAAGTGGGATGATGTCTTCAATTTAAGCTCTTTTCAAATATTACAATCTTGTTTAAATGCCAGCTATTATTACAACAGGAGGTATTTAAACTAGAAATCAGGAGACTTTTCCTGTCGCTGAGCGAGTGGCAGGTGCTCTGTTGTGGGGGGAGTGTCGTCGATGATGTGACCCCGTGGCTAGCTTCCTGACTGGCAAGCCACCTGTCTCTGCTCCCCAGCTAAATCGCAAGGCTGTGCTTAGCTCCTCAGTGGGACTGCTGAAGCTGCCCAGCAAGGGTGTCGACCCCGAGCAGGGCACAAAGTGCCTGGTATCGGGCTGGGGCTCTCTGTCTGACTTCGGGGAGTCGCCACAGGGCCTGATGGAGACAGACGTGAGTGTACTGGGTCGAGAGAGCTGTAACAAATCCTGGAAAGGCCAGGTCAGCAGCAAGATGCTTTGTGCCAACAGTGGGAGCTGGAAACACAATGGCTTCTGCACGGTGAGTGACCCGCAATGTTCCTAAAGGTCGCTGAGTCCAACTATCCCCAAAGCCCCTGGAAAAGAAGGCCTGGCCCAGGGAGTCTTTGCCCTATTGTCCCATATGAACCATGGAATCAGAAATCTAGAATCTGAAGGAACCTCAAAGGTCAACTAGCCCGCCCAACGTCCTCATTTTTACATAGGAGGAGATCGAGTCCCAGGAAAGTAAGGTGACTTGCCCACACAGATTTGGACCTAGGTCCTTTGATTCTTCATGGGCAAGCTAGGGGGCCCAAAGAGGCACTCATCTTGAGGGGCTTCCCACTCCCCCAATGGTCTCTTCCACCTATGGTCCTGCCTGATGGTAGATGTATTACTCAGCTCTCTTGCCCTTCTTACTCCCTTAGGACTCTCTGAAGGGGGCCAGCCTTGGTCCTGATGTGGAAAAAAACAGACGCAGACAAGGGAAAGGGTGGAAGAGACAGAAACAGAAGAGACAGAGGGTGGGACCCCAAAACAAGAGAACACTGGATTTGGGCCTAGCTCAGTTGACTCTCATTTTCCTCTGCTGTAAAATGAGGCCTTTGGACCTGATAGAAGTATCCTTTTTAGTGTCCTGAATCTCTTTGGCAATCTGGTGAAATCTATGGATCTCTCTCAGAATAATAATTTTTTAAAAAATCTTATTTGAAGGAAATACCCAATTTTAGTTAGAGGTTAGTGAAAATAAAGATGAAATTTTTTTTCCATCCAAATTCACAGATTCCATCGAAATCTATCCACAGGATCCTTAGAGGGGGGATTCTAGGTCAAGAACCCCTAGACTAGATCCTTGGACCCCAAGTTAAGAATCCCTGGACCAGATTATCTCTCTAAAGTTGTTCCCAGCTCCTCATCTATGATTTTGTGAGGTATCATTCCCATTTTACAGATCAGGGCACTCGAGGACTTTAGAATTTTAGGGGTCTCAGTGATCACTGAATCCAACCTATTCATTTTACCAAGGAGGAAACTGAGCCCCAAAGAGAGGGAAGGACTTTGATAAGGGACAGAGCTAAGACTAGCCCCCACAGCCATGGGCCAGGTGGGAGCTTACTCAGAGTAGTGCCAGTTGCCAACATGGGATCCCCCAGGATCAGCACTCTAACCAGCAGGACCCTTCTCCCTGCCAGGCTGACTCTGGAGGGCCCCTGATCTGTGGAAAAGAAGCCCAAGGCATTGTCTCCTTCTCCGGCACCTGGTGTGGAGACCCCAAGACCCCAGATGTCTACACACTCGTCTCTGCCTACATCACTTGGATCCAGCGTATGGTCCAGAAATCCAAACAGGCTCCACTGTTACCCTGTTGACTCCTCCCCACCCTAGCCTCAGATATGGCTCCTGGCCTGAAGCAAACAAGATACTAAAGATAAGTGTATGTAAATTATATGTTAATTGCATACAGATTATATGCAGGACACTCCCTCCATGCCAATAAAATCATGCAGGGAGCTAACGGCCTGGCATCTGACTTTCCCAATTCTCTCCTCCTTTGAAGAGTATCCCAAGCTCTCTGTTATCCAGGACCTTTCCACCCTCCCCCATCTTCCCACCCCAACTCTTATGGCTTTGACACCTGGAAACACCTGGATCCTGGGGCTAACGGTGGTGGTAACTACTACTTCCCAGCTCTAGCTACCCACATGTCTGTCTTCCCTACTTTCTTCTCTCTCCCTACTTCTGTTTTTTTCCCACCTACTGCTTTTTTTCTTCATTCCCTATCTCTCTGCCTCTCCCAATCCTCCTCCTTCTCTCTCTCTCTCTCTCTCATGTTCCTTCCTTATCTTTGTCTCTCTTATTGTCTTTCCCCCTTCTCTATCTCCCTTTCCTGTCCTGTGTTTCCCTCTCTGTCTGCCCCATCCATCCTCATTCCCATTTCTCCATGTTCTCCAGCCTGCCACCAGGTGGCAGCCCTCAGCTAGATCATCCCATTCCCCTGTGTCTGAGTCCTGGTCAGTGTCCCCTTCTCTGGACCCTCCTCCAGGAACTCAGCCCAGAAATGGGCAGGATCGCACACTGGAAGGCCTGTTAGAAACTGTCAACACAAACCCCATCATTTTCCACTTGGGGAACCTGAACCAGAGGGGTAGTGATTTGTCTAAGGGGATGCTGCCAGTCCCAGAACCCCAGCCTCTTAGCCCCCAGCCGGGACTCCACCCAACCCCCATGCTCAGAATGAGAACAAGAGAACTTCCTTTATACAGATCTTTTTACTTTCCAAAGGAAATCACCAACATTCCCATGATCCTCAGGCAGGGGGAAGTGCGCTTGTTCCGATTTGAAAAAGGGAGAAACTGAGGACCAGAGAAGGGAAGGGATTAACCCAAAGTCACACAGTGAACTTTGAGGACCCTGAGCCTCCTCCCTCCCCCAAGAAAGGAGGAAGGAGAACAGATAATTGGCACTTGGGTGGGGAAGAGGATACCTTCCCTCCAATACAGGGGCCTTTCTAGAGACAGTCTGACTTTGTGGGAAGAATGTGGCTTGGGAACCTTGAGTCTCAGGATAAAATGAGGCCAAGGGTTAAAGCTGGGGACCCCTCTCCCAAGAAAAGTCATGGAAGGCCTATGGCATGGAGGGCACCATATGGAACCTGGCTTCCTCTACCCCCAACTCCAGCACACACACCCCTTTTATCTCCAAAGTTGAGAGCATCATCATTACACGTTTTGGGATTGGGATCCCCCAAATCACGCAACCTCAAGAGCCGGGTAGATCTCTGCCCCTTATTCTAGGAGGAAGGGGAGAGGGGGAACATACATATATGGATTCCACCCTCTGCAGAGCCCTTAGGCCCAGAATTGCATCAGTAGGGTCATTAAGCGGGAGGGATTGTGAAACCCCAGCTGGGAGTCTGTCTCTGTCCCTCTCTACGGCTCCCTTGATGGCCCCATGGAATGTCGAAACATATGCCCCACCCCTCCCCCCACAGAGCTTCCAGCCACCCCCCCTCCCTGAGATTAGCTCGCCTTCTTTGGGACCCTCCAAGGTATTTGCCATTTCCATCCCCCTCCCACCACTACCAGCGGCTCATGGCAGCTCCAGTCAGGCTGTAATAATCCTCCCAATTTCTCCCTTCCTCAACAAGGGTCTCTGGGAGTTGTCTAGAAGAGAGAACACAGCTGGAGGCTGGGGGTCCATAAATATGCCTCCCTCTTCATAATAAATAGGGTTGCCTTGGCTCTGTGCAGGACCCGCGGCGTCACCTCACACGGAGTTATCCTCCACCTCGGCCAAAAGCCCAGCCAATGTGGTGCTGACTGTAAGGGGAGAGAGAAGGGAGGAGACTCAGGGAGCTGGGGACGTGCAGGGTCTCCCCGTAAGGCTGATGACTCCCCGAGGATAGGGCCATGTGTCCCCACTTGGGCTGAATCTCCCCTTTAGACTAGGGGCTTCCTAAGGACAGAGGCTAATTAGGACCAGTGGCTCCCGGGCCCTCCCCAACCCTGAGCCCCTGGCCACGAAACCTACCTGTGCAACTCCCAGAGTGCCGGACACCAATGGATCTGCCCAGGAAGCAGGTTGCCTGACGAAGGTGGCAGGAAGAGGCATAGGTGACATTGTTGTTCCCACACAGCTGCTGGTTGGGGCTCGAGGGCATAGGGCAGGGGGCAGAGCGGCAGATGACACAGTGAGCACTGCCAGTTTGGTCCACCACACACGTATGAGTCCCTGGACACACCACGAGTGAGCAGCTCTCTGAGGGGGAAGTAGGCATCAGAGGAGTTGGATCAGTGAAGAGGATGGAGGGCTAAGCAAGGGGATGAGGGGTCAATGAGGGGATGGTGGGCTAGGTAAAGGCAATG